AACCCAGCAATTTACATATCATTCTTGACTTTTGCCGCTCTGTTTATCACAATGATTTCCCTTTCAATCACACGCTGACACCAAATCATCTACAATTACTCCTCGACTTGCAGCTGTTTGTTTAGTGACTGAAGTTAGAACAGTGCTGGAAAAAGGGACTTTTATGACCGTTTTTCACACTTATGACATTTGCAAGGTCCCTATCATCATGTGATCAAAATCCGGACACTTGGCAACTGGCATGTACTTATGACGGTTGCAGTGGCCCAGGGATCACACAATCCCCTTTTGAGAGCTTCCGACAAGCGAAGCCAAGGGGGAAAGCCAAGATTCATTTAACAACTGTGGGATTTACTTAAAAACTGCAGCGATTCCCTTAACAACCGTGTCAAGGAAGTGTTGTGGCTTGCCGGTGGCTAGCGGAGCTGGCTGCAGAGTCGGACAGTGAGGAGGTTGGGGAAGAACCCGGGCCAGTCCTGGAGGCTGAGGAAGGCTCGGACGAGGGCTCTGCATCAGAGACAGGGCAGGCTGGCAGTCATCAGCTGCCTTCAGAATCGGAGATCAGTGGGGAAGAAGAACAGCTGGAGCCTGTTCTCAGTGTGTGCATGCGCAGAGCTGCCAGGAGAAGGGAACAGTTAAGGAACAAGGGTCAACTCAGGAGTAAAGGCTCAAGTGGACAGTGAATGGCCCCTCTCATAGGGATTAAAAGAGGAGCAAAAAGGGAGGGGGCTTTTGCAGGAAACAATTCGTTCATTCGTTCGTTGCAGCAGTGGGAAGATCTGTCTGTGCATCTCAGAAACTCTGTGCTGAGTCCTTCCTTGTCAGCACTGTGTTTGAAAATATACTTGGCAGTTCTCCAGGTGAGATAAGGTCTGTGCTCCTCATTACACCCTTGAAAGGCTGTTTGCCAGGCCTTTGGTTGAAGGTGAATGCAAGAAATTCACCTTCATTTAATAAAAGGGGTTTTGACGGGACAAAAATTCTGCTTAGTGCTTTTTGGGGGAAGCCCAGGTCAGAACAGGAAGGTCCTAAAATGGGGCAAAACTCACTTCACCCTGGCCTCACTTAGCAACATAAATTTTGGGCTCAACTGTGGTCATAAGTTCAAGGAGTATTTACACTTCAGTAACACAGAGCTACCCCTGTCTACCAGAAGAGTCTATGTGCAGCGACGGGAGAGACTGTGAGTAGGAAGAGCTACTGAGAGAAAAGGAGGATGAGCCTCAGTATTACAAGCCATCCTTCACTTATGACCATTTTAGTGACCTCTCAAAGTTACAATGTCACTGGAAAAAAAATGTGACTTATGACTGGTTCTCAAACTTATGGATGGAGAGAATTAACTGCAGAAGATACATCACGCACTGAGCAGTTAAAGTTGAACTTTCTCTTAAAAGAACACTACGTGAGAATATAGTTTTTAAGTCCTTGGTGTTCTCTGAGCTTGGTTGCTTTCTTGCAGACATACTGATGATGTTACCTAGTTGGGTCATGAAACGTCTGCAAGAAAACAACAACAGAGAGCACCAGAGACCCCACAATTGAACCCCAAAGCTAAATATATTCTCTTCTACTGGAATATTGTTTATAGCCTTGGTTCTCTTCCTTCTGATGACGAGTTTTATTCTTTGGAGGCTCGTTTAGTGACGTCTTTTTCTTACTGCTACAAACATGTTCCTCACTGTCCATGTTAGATAGGTTTTGATCTTTCTCAAGGCTACTTAATCTGGTAGTGGCCCTACCAGGTCCCTGTGCTAGCTCTCTAAAACAGAACATTAGAAGGTTGTCTGTTATGTCTCACCTGGACAAACAAAGTAATAAGTCCAAATTTCCAACTGAAACACAAATAAGCAGGCAAGTCCGGTAATTACAGGGTTAAATTCCTTAACCCGACAACATTCTTGGCAGTCTTACGCAAGCTGTCTGCCAAGTCCGATAAGGAAGCAGGAACATAAATCACAAGCTGTCGCCACACACAGGATAATTCTGAAGCTTCTCTCACTATATAACACGTTGTCCCGAACAAGAACCCAGAGCTAACACACCCACTTTTATTCCCTGTGGGGCGTGTCAGTCTCTCATCTCAGTCTCCGATTTGTCCTTTCTTTCTGCGTTGCATCTCATGCTTTTGCCTGCGTCTTTGCCTCGCATCAAACCAACATTCCTCAGCCAGAGGCTCTGATACGCCCTCCTGGTTATCTGCCGACACCTGAGGCACAACCAGGGAGGAAGGTCTTGCCGAAGAGGAAAGTCCTGGGGAGGAAGGCAATTCCAAATCCTCTAACAAAGCAGGCTCAAACCTCAGAGCCAAATCCTCCTCTTCCTCATTGTCCAAGTTTGTGTCCTCTAACAGAGCAGGCTCAAACCTCCGAGTCACAATAGTTGTCCATCATTTTCTCTCGAGTGGACAGTAGGAATTTTTATTATTGTTTTTATTGCAGTTTTCAAAAATACAAATCTTATTTATATTCGTAGCAACGTTTTTTAGCATTGACAAATACATATAACTTAGAATTAGAATTCTTTTTATTGGCCAAGTGTGATTGAACACTTGTCTTGGTGCAAATACCTTTATTATATACACATCTATGTTAATAATCTCTTAAGGTCTCTTGTTTTATTTGCAATCATCCATTCTTCCTAATCTTTATATCTATTTTTTTAACCACTCATACCATTTATCCCATATTGCGTAATAATAGGAATCCTCTTTATCTTTCATTTCTAACATAAGCTTATCCATTTCAGCGCATTCCAGAATTTTTTGTATGACTAGATCCTCTGAAGGGACATTAGCTCCTTTCCACAATTGTGTAAAAGCTATTCTGGATGCTGTCAAAATATGATGTATACTATACTTAATCTTTTTAGGGTATTGGCCTGGGATTATTCCTAATAGAAAAAATTCCGGTTTGTGTTCAGTTTGGTGTTTGGTGATCTCTTGAAGCCAATTTTTTTAACCCAATATTTTAACCCAATATTTCCTGGTCTCGGGGCATAACCACCACACATGATAAAAAGTACCATCTTTATGTCTTTACTGCGCTGAGAATAAATATGGTGTTTTGATAGCAACCATTCTATCTAAACTCGTGCAGTTGGATAGCTACCGTACATATCATGCACCTAAAGGCAGGACAAGAAGCAACAGATAGAAACTAATGAAGGAGAGAAGCAACATGGAATGAAAGACAAACTTCCTAACAGTGAGGACGATTAACCAGTGGAACTGCTTGCCACCAGAAGTTGTGGCTGCTCCGTCACTGGGATTTTTAAAGAAGAGATTGGACAACAATTTGTCACAAAAGATATAGGGTTTCCTGCTTGAGCAGGGGGTTAGACTAGAAGACCTCCAAGGTCCCTTCTAACTCTGTTATGTAAGAATCTATAGCAGTTCATCTACCTGAATTTTCTACCCTTTAGATTCAGAAGATGCCTCAAATTTTCAAATTTTGCCCAAATGACATATTACTTCTTTTTTGCCTCATATATAGTCAAATACAGGGAGTGGTATGGTGGACTAGAGGTGGAGCTCCTGCCTCACAATCAGGAGGCTGTGAGTTTGATCCCAGGTAGAGGCAGGTATTTCTTTCTCTGGGCACTCTGAGAATTTACAGTATCTGCTGAACAAAACTCCGCATTGGTGACAGGAAGGGCATCCGGCCAGTAAAACACTCTACTAGCTCCATTCAGTTGCCCAGACTCCACCCCACAAGGGATTATGGAGTCATTAAAAAATAGATAGATAGATAGATAGATAGATAGATAGATAGATAGATAGAAGGATAGGATAGGATAGGATAGGATAGGATAGGATAGGATAGGATAGGATAGGATAGGATAGATGAATATATCTGCTGAACAAAACTCCACATTGGTGACAGGAAAGGCATCCGGCCAGTAAACACTCAGCTCCATTCAGTTGCTCCGACTCCACCCCGCAAGGGATTATGGGATCATTAAAAGATGATGACATAATTAAATATAGCCTCTGGAGTTAGATCCAATACTTTCATGCATTTTTCTTCATTTCTTTTTCCTTAACTGTACAAGATCATTTTTTTTAAAGGTGACTTCCAAATTTATATATTTGTCCGAGCCATAAATTTGTGCAGCCACTCTGGCAGTTTGATTTTTTAAAAAAAAAATATTATTATCATCTTCATGACCTGCGATATATAATTTCTCCTTTGAAAACAGATTTATGGGGTCATCAAGTTCCCTGCAACACCTGAAGATCTTGTTCCTTGTCACTCACCGATAGCTGAGCAACTATTAGTGTTTCTATCAGGGCAGAAATTTCTGTCCCAATTTTTAATCTCTTTGCCTCTATATATAAACATAAATGCTCTAATTCATATCAGCAGATAGCTGTAATACAGGTAGTGCTCGGACTTATAATATTCATTTAGTGACAGTTTGAAAATACAATGGCACCGAAAAAGGGACATGACTGGGTTTAACCATTGCAGCATCCTCGTGGCCACATAATCAAAATTCACAAGCTTGGCAATTGACTCGTATTTATGATGTCCTGGCGTCGCCTGATCCCCTTTTGCGACCTTCCAAGAAGCCGAGTCAACAGGGAAGCCAAGTTTCACTTAACAACGGTGTCACTAAGTGAGATTCACTTAACAACTGTGATAAGGAAGGTGGTAAAATGAGGCGAAACTCACTTGACAAACTTAGCCACAAAAAATATTGGGGCTCCATTGTGGTTTTAAGTCAAGGACAACCTCTACGCTCCCACTACTTCATTCTTCTATTGTGTTCAGCCCAACTAACAAACAGTAGTAACTTTGCTCACCTTGAAATTGGGAAGGCCTGCTCCTTGTTCTTCACAGCCATGCCCACGAGACATGAAACCATAGACAATGAGTAGACTGCAACTACTTACCCGCGTGACTACAAGCCTATCACCATTCAAACTACTAACACAACAACCACTACCACCACCACCGCAACAAAAAAACCTTACAGGGCTAACTGGGTTTACTTACATTGAGTAAGGATGCCCATCAAAGCATTCTTAAAGTTGTCCTTGGCTTGGTCCATCTCTTGTTCGTGGGTGGCTCTTTCGTTCATGAGCCGGCGGACGTGGCTGTTGGCTGATTGCACCATCGAGTAGAACTGGTTAGATGTTCGCCGGTTCACCTCCCCTCGTTCGATCCAGGTGAGTAACACCACTATGGCCTCGGAGAACTTGCTGTCATCTGGAACGAAACCCATTCAAGAAAAGCCAACGTTACCGTCACACGTTCGTTGGGCGACAAATAGATTTCAGCGCTTACGAATTGTCCCATGAAGACTATTTATGACGTTATCTTAGACTAGGTTTCAAGCCCAAAATTGACATATATGGAGCCATTTTATTTAGCCTTATTATATATTCCTTTTCTTTCTTTCCCTTTGCTGGTTATTGGTGGGGGGAGGAAGGGTTTCGGGCTTGCCACATTCCTAAGGGGAGAGGAGTGGAGATAGAGAGAGTTGTTTAGGCTAAGTGGTTCTCCTTCCCGTGAGAACGAAAGCTGGCCCTGCTGAGACTTGGAGGTGGAGATTAATGACACCAGGCCACGTTGATTTACTTCTATTGGGGAATGTGACTTTTGGGGGCTGTTTCTAATTTCCAATATTATGTGGTGTAATTCCGGGTCGTGTCAGATCTGGAATTACCACAGGCTTTGCCAATTTGATGCTTTCCTAAATAAAAGAAATTATTTTGGAAGACGGACTCTGTTCTTTTCTTTTTAAATGGATTTCATCACTTGGAAAACTTGACATCGGGCTTCGGCCATCTCATATAACCCTTTATAAATTGCTCTCTAAAGCAATGATTATCAGGAGTGTCGTAAATGTTGTGGCTCAGATTTTCATTCATCCCGTATGCTGTCTTCGCGATGTGAAGTAGGTTCACCGTGGGAATAATTAAGCACAAAGTATCTTTTTTAAGATTCCACCCAACGAGAGTGAAAGGACAACGAAGCGTCTGCAGATCCACATGTAAATCTTTCCAACAGGATCCTTGAACGTACAACTGTTTTACAACACTCCCCCCGCTGCAAAGACGAGTGATTCCAGATGAGAGGTTTCCATCATTTGTCATGCTGCAGTGAAATCTGTGTGAAGCAGAAGGCATGTTGTGTTGGCGTATGAAACTTCCTGACTTCCACAGAAAAAGAAAGAGGAGATGTAAGAATAGAATTGTTGTCTCTCCTTTAAATGGTTTATCCTCAAACGTAAGCCAAAGTTACATCTCTGAATCAATCGGTAGGGTTGATTCAGAAATGTAACTCTGGCTTATGTTTGAGGATAGACCATTGAAGAGAGGTTGACCTGACTCAACTAAAGAAGCTTCTTAGATGAGGAGTGAAATGTCTTCAAGGAAAAAGCACTCAAAGGTGCGTCATCCTTACCAGGGGGTGAGGCAACAGACTACAGATCAACATTTGTCTCATCTTTGTAAGGTTCTTACTCCCTTTTGACTTCAGTTCTTCAGATATCTCAGTCTTGCTAGTGGCTGAGCTTAGTTCCAGTCCCAGATCAAGCAATAAAAGAGAATATTTCTAGATCTGGGTTGAAATGAGAGGTCCTTGGTGCTCTCTGAGCTTGGTGGTTTTCTTGCGGACATTTCGTTACCCAAACTAAGCAACATCATAGGTGCTAAAGGGAGTGTTGTTTGTGGAGAGGAGGAGGAGGAGAGGAGGAGGAGGAAGAGGAGGAAAGAGAAGGAGGAGGAGAACTGTGGGGCCTTGTTTTCTTGCAGATATTTCATTACCCAACTAAGTAACTATCACTGCTCGTTATCGGTGCTAGAAGGGAGAAGGTATTGTGGAGAGGAGGAGGAAGAGGTGCAGGAGGAGCAGGATGACGATGACTGTGGGGTCCTTGATACTCTCTGAGCTTGGTGGTTTTCCTGCAGATGTTTCATTACCCAACTAGGGAACATCATCAGTGCTAAAAGGGAATGGGGTATGCAGTGAGGAGGAGGAGGAGGAGGAGGAGGAGGAGGAGGAGGAGGATCACTGTGGGGTCCTTGGTGCTCTCTGAGTTTGGTTGGTTTCTTACAGATATTTCATTACCCAAACAAGGTAACATAATTAGTACTAGATGATGCTACCTAGTTTGGGTAATGAACTATCTGCAAGAAAACAACCAAGCTCAGAGACCACCAAGGACCTCCTCCTCCCTGTGCCAGATCAAGCATTAATTCATGTTTAGAAGCCTCTTAGGATATGAACCCCCCTCTTTCCTTTTTTTTTTTTGGAGAAATTTGCATACTTCATCAATATAATGCACCTATCCTATGGAAAGGTGAAACGGTTGCAAAATGTTGGAAAGAATAAGGTAATCAACCTCTAAATCCCAGAATCCTTTTTTTGTGTGATGATTCATGGCTGAGCTTAGGACAAGGAGAAAGTAAACGGAGATATTTACGAAGGTTTGTTCCATGGGCTCCTTCAACCAACGTGTTTTTATGAACACCCAGATGGAAAGGAGGTGCCTCCAAAGAGGCTGTTTTTGATCTCCCTCCGTTGCTCCAGCAAATTAAGTAAATCACAGCCGCCGAGGCAAGAAATAAAATTATCAGAAGGCACTTTTCACCTTGATTACTCAACTGGAGATGTAAATTTCTGAGATTCTACCGACAGCTCTAACGAAACCCTCATTTACAACAGGATTTCGTTGCAATCAGGAAATCTTCGATCATTTTCAGGTAGGAATGGAACCGGCCACGATAAAATCGCAACTCTACTAGTTTTTACAATCCGTTCAGGCAAAATGATATATATATATTCAAAAAATCCTTTTCTTAGAAGCCAAGAGGAACATACTTAACATGTCAAGTTTGTAGGCTTTACGGTTTCTGGAGATTTTGTGATGATGCATGAGTGGAATATAGGATGAATACTGGAATATATGAGGAATACTGGTATTATATATATTCTCCAATGCACCAGAAGGCAGGACAAAAAGCAACAGATGGAAAATAATTAAGGACAGAAACAACCTGGAATGAAGGAGAAATTTCCTAACAGTGAGGACAATTGACCAGTGGAACTGCTTGCCACCAGAAGTTGTGGGCGATCCATCACTGGAGGTTTTTAAGAAGAGACTGGACACATGTCTGAAATAGTATAGGATCTCTTGCTTGAGCAGGGGGCTGGACTAGAAGACCTCCAAGGTCCCTTCCAGCTCTATTCTGATTGACTGTTTATTACAGAACCATCCCAGCCTCCAAGGGATCTTCTCTTCCAATTTCTCCTATCCTTCCCATCTTGACTATCTTGGAATTCCTTGGAAACCAAGCTGTGTAATTACAGTATAATTTTGGGTGTGATAGAGGTTGTTTTGTTATTTTTGAAGGGGGAGAGGTTGCCAAGAAGCACGAAGTATTTCCCGAATGAAAACTCCTCGTCCACATTTAATTAAAGGCAACTTTTAGAAGCTACAAAGGATCATGAGCCTGTTAATGGTTAATTAATGGTTCTTTAGGAGAAGAAAAAAGACTTCATTGGTTGTATAATTAGGAGGTGTAAGTTGTTAACACTTTAACAAGTGCTAAAGGAAAATTAGCCACAGCAAAACTCTATTACCAAACTTACTGTCCTCTCCGTGGGTTATTTTTAAATTTCTAATTTCATCTTCTCTCCTTGCTTACTAAATCCAGGAATCAACTGCTTACAAGTCAAAAGCATTTGTTTTTGCCAAAAATAGAACCGAGGACTTCTCATAAACACCTGCAATTTCTCCAGAAGGTCCCACAGTACGTTGAATATTTACAAGTGGAAGTTATTTCAGGGAAGGCAAAGGCCAAAATCCAATTTTATACCTGCATTTAGGACATTGCTCCTTTGGAGAAAGGCAACATCGCTCGAAAATATTACTTGGAAGAGGAATGGCCGTTAAACAAATATAATTCACTGCTGTTTACAGAAGATAACTTGTGGGGGGGATCGTGGTCCTTCTAAATTCCATCATACATTGGAACTCTTTAGCATTTCTTTCTGAAGTTTAATGAAGATGGGGATCAAGCTATTCTCCAAAGCACCAGAGGGCAGGACAAGAAGCAACAGGTGGAAACTAATCAAGGAGAGATTCAACCTGGAATTAAGGAGAAACCTCCTGACAGTGAGAGAAATTCATCAGTGGAACGGCTTGTGTCCAGAAGTTGTGGGTGATCCATCACTGGAGATGTTTTAAGAAGACGTTGGATAACCATTTGTCTGAAATTGTATGGGGTCTCCTGCCTGAGCAGGGGGTTGGACTATAAGACCTCTAAGCTCCCTTCCAACTCTGTTATTCTGCATTCTGTTCTCTTAATCTGTTATTCTGTAATGTTCTACAGAATGAATGCTGTGCTTCCAGTTTGTCAGTTACTCAAATATAATTAAGGAAAATTACATCTATGTCTTGTCTTGTCCTGACATATCAGAAAAAATAGTAACGTACGTCCTTCTGAATCATCAGAAGCCATAGTGGCACAGTGGTTAGATTGCGGTATTGCAGGCTGACTCCGCTCACTGCCATCAGTTTGATTCTCACCAGCCTCAAGGTTGACTCAGCCTTCCATCCTTCTGAGGTCGGTAAACTGAGGACCCAGATTGGTGGGGGCAAGATGTTGACTCTGTAAACTACTTAGAGAGGGCTCTAAGGCACTATGAAGCGGTATATAAATCTAATTGCTATTGCTATCTAGTTCTATCCAGGGGTGGGATTCTACCAGTTCGCACATATTCGCTAGAACCGGTTCTTAACATTCTAAGCAGTTCAGAGAACCAGTTGTTAGAAGAAATTCCTGGCCTAATCCTGTAAGGAAGGCAGAAAGGAAACATTCTGGTGTTGCTTACAGAAACTGCCTCTCCGTTAACCCTTATTACATTCTTGGCAGGACTAGACTGCCTGTCTCTGGAACTTCTCTGGAGTTTTTTTTCCCCTCCTTTGCTGGTACTTTGCTTGTGTGGAGTGAACATTTAAAGTTACAATGGCACTGAAAAAAGTGACTTATGACCATTTTTTACACTTACGACTGTTGCAGCATCCCCACAGTCATGAGAGGCCAGACGAGGAGATGCGTGCCTCGATGTGAGTGATATTCAGTTGGCCACACCCAGCCGATAACATGACCACCAAGCCATGTCCACCCAGTCACATGACTACCAAGTCACGCCCACCACCTAAGCCACGCCCACAGAACAGGTTGTTAAAAATTTTG